AATGATACAATCAATAATAATTTAAAACGATTTAACATTTTCAACATTTTTGAAACAAAAAATTGTGAAAGAGTTACAAAAACAAAACAAAAATGAAAATTCTGTAAACGAAATTTGATTAATGATAATGATGATTACGGTGATGATAATGACGATGATGGCCAAGTTTGTGTTTTGATGATGGCTGATTAGGCTTTCAATTTGAGTTTTCTATTTTTGGTAACGTTAATTTTCTTGATGTTTTTTGTTTTTGTCTTGGTTCAACATGATGAAAATGTTGATCAAAATGATATAATAGTGATGTTGATGATAATGATGGTTGAAATTTGTTTAGCCATCATCATTATCATTATCAATTTTCGGTTTTTATTCTTTAGGTTGACAAACACGATGAACAGAAATGAATGAATGAATAGGTATTTGGTATTTTGATGTTATGACTTGAAACAATTAAATCATTTTTCTGTAATTTTGTTTGAATTCAACGAAATCTCTCTTTTTTTCAGGATGATAATGATTGATTGAAATAATCATTTTTTGTTCAAATTATAATGGATCTTTTTGGTTGAGAGAAACGAAAAAAAGAAAGAAGAAATTGTTATCAATTAGTGTTACTTTGTCAAAGTTTTTTGTTTTTGTTATTTTCACCCAAAAATCATCATTATAATTATCGATAACTCATCACATTGATTTTTGTTTTGTTTTGTTTTTTTCCTAATTGTTATCCTAACAATTTTACCTGTCAAATCTATTTACCTGTATGATGAATATCATCGTAAATAGTGATGAAGTTGTCCTAAATTCTTTCTGACTTACATAAACACATAATCAGTTGATGTTCAATCAGTAACAAAACAAAATGATAACATTTTACCTATTAACATCATAGTATGTTTGTTTTATGTATATACAAAAATGTATGAAAATAAAAAGATTAGAAAAATAAAGCATACCATTTTTCATTTGTATGAAGCAGAATGTATTCAATGATGATGATAATGATAATGATGATTATGAACCATTTTTTTCTTCAGTATCTTCTAATATTTTCGGATCGTTTACAATTTCAACCATGAAAAACATGAAAACATTTTGGGAAAAAATATCCTCGTTTGTTTTGGCTGGATGATTGTAGATGCGTGTATTGCTGTGATACAAACACACCATCAGAAAATTGTAATAATTTTCATTTAGAAAATACAAACAATCAAACAACCCAAAAAAGTACACAATTACCAAATATATTGTTGTTGGCTTCTTTTGCTCTCTTTTTCTTTGCTATCTCACTATGGTGATTATCATTTGATTATCATTGAATGTCTAATTTATCCATTGAATTATATTATCCAGTTGATGATGATGATGATGATGATTATGAGTTTTTTTCTTACTTCTTTTTCCAAGGGATTATTATTATTATTATTATTGTTATTACTTATTGTTTGATTTTCAAAGCGACGAGTAAAGTATTATTTGTTCTTTATTAAAATAACAAAAAACAAAAATAAGTCGTTTGAGATGGTGAAGAAAAAAATCAATTTCAATTTATTCCGTTATTGAAAATCTTCTATTGATGATCATTCAGGTTAGGTTGAACAGCATTTTTTTTTGAAGCAAATTAAATTGAATTACACAGAGAGAGACAAACCATGGATGTGCTATTGAAAATCTTTTTGAATTTGATGATGCTTTTTGACCAATATTTTTTTCTGGTTGTTATCTTGCTAAATCAATCGCCGAATCGAATGATTTATCAAATTCTGATCATTATAAACACAAATTTTTTTCTTCGAAAAAACAATGAATGATCGGGTTGAATTATTTCAAAACAGAACAATGAAAAGAAAACAATAAAAAAAAGGTCAAACAATCAATGATAATCGATTCAATCAATTTGATAATTGTAGATAATGATGATAACAAAACAAAACAAAAAAAAAACAATCGAAAAAAGGAAGAAAAAAGGTTGTTTTTTTACATCATTTTTTCAATGAATTTTGTTTTGATGATGATGATGTTGATGTACAATAATAGTAGTGGAGCAATGGATTCCACTATCGGATACCACTTCCATTTATTCGCTATTCAGAATCCCAAAAATATTTTCTGGAACACACATATTTGGGCGTCCATAGAAAATTGAGTCGGATGTTAACAACACAACACACACACGCACAATTATATATAGAGAATCTTTGTGGATACTGAGCCGAACAAGCAAAATGAGTGGGAAAAATTTTTGTTTTCAAAAATTCCTGGTTGGATTCCTGATTATAAAGAATCGTTTTGGGTGAGAAATGATACAAGTGCATCACAATGTCTAAAATCATAGATTGTATTTATATACCAGGAAAAAAAATGCTTTTTGAATGATGAATAAATAAATTGAGATGGAAAAAAAAACATAACTGCGTTAAGAAAACTTGAAAAAAAAATATTGAAGAACTTGCAAAAATAAATAGAAAAAGAAGAAGATAACCGACACATTACATAACAGTCGATGAAAAATAGAGACGAATGAGAGATAGGTAGGTAGGTCGGTATTCTTCTTGTTGTTCATCTCTTTTTCAAGGAGAAAAAAGATTTTTCAAAAGTCCTTGAACTTTAGAAAATAGTTGTGAAAAAGACAGCCCGTACTCTTTGCATCCGAAAAAAAAGAGAGACGAGACGAGAGAAAATATTTCTTTTATTTTCTTTTTCTAACCCGAAACAATCGAAAAAGAAAAGAAAACCCTTGTGAACAATTATAAAGCGGATCGAGCAAATGAAAAGAAATGAAATAAAAAAAAAAGAAGAAGAAAAACGGCAATGATCGTTTTGATACCACCACCATCAACAACTTTTATCCCACTCTTTTCACCCCCCATACACCAAATCACCCTGTATAGATAATTTTCAGGTTTTTTTTTATTTCTCGTCATTCCGTACAAAATATTTAGTGGTCATCGTCGTTGTTGTTGTTGTCCATCTTTAACAACAAAAAAAAAGGTCGACCATCATCTTAAGACAGCAAGTGGCCATCCGAACAAACAATCAAGGTAAAGAGCAAAAGAAGAAAAAAAAACGGGAAAAAAATTTAATACCCGAATCGTTTCAATTTGTTCAATTCATTACGATCAAAGCAAAAAAGAAAAATAACTTATTTGCTTTGTTTGTTCACATCATTCAATGATATGATGATGATGATAAAAGATTCGGATAATAACCGGACACCAATCCGATTTATAAATAATAATAATTCACCACCACCATTCAATACAATCGATAAATCGATAAAATCTTATTTTTTGAAAAGAAAGGTAAACGGATTCAATTTTCATACAGATTTTTTGAAATGTTTCAAAAATGTTTCAAATCAGGTTTACATTTTGACATTTAAATCAGTCATTCAATCAGACAATCTGTCAATCTGTCAAAGACAATATGAAATATTTACTTTATTTTTTTGTTGTTGAATAAAAAATATATATTTTTAAAGATTTTTATCATTCAATACTGATAATGATAATAATAATAACTACCATCATCATCATCATCATCTTTGCCATCAACATATAATGATTATGTAACTTTATTTTATTTTTTCTGGATACTTTTTGGTAACTTTTTTATGTAATTTTTCTTTAAAAATGATGATAATTATATGACAACCATTGTATCAACAACAATTAGTTTGATAAATTGGCGGGTCATGAATTTTTCTTTATTTTTTTTTCGGTTGATCTGATCATGAATATGCAAATGATAATGAAACATGTATCCGTTGTTGTTGTTGTTTTTTTTTTTTGGTTGAAAACATTCAAAAATATGAAATGTTTCAAATAAAGATTTTATATTCAAATTTCTTCAATGAATGTCGAATAGCGGTCATCACGATTGAACAATATGGAAAAGGTGGATAACACCACCACACCATCATTGTTTATCGAATGACATAGATCTTGATTTTATGTTTACAAAGAAAGAAAAAACATGTTTATTTCATTGTTATTGTTGTTGTCACAAGCACATACTTTTGAAAAATTCATTATTCGTTAATTTCATTTCTTTTTTTCTTAACAGTTATTATTTCATTATTCAAATGATGATGGACAATCAACTATTCAGTTATTCACAAACTCTGGTAATCTAAATTTGGGTGTCTTCAGATCATTATCCATCATCATCATCTTTGGTCATATTCTATTGTTATCCAACAAAGAATCAAGAGAAATAACATCTTCAATGGTGACAATTTTTTTTTCAATTTTGCTAAACAAGATTGACATTTCTTCACTTTATTATTCTTCGATCAATATCAAAAACCGGGTATCATAATGATTTACATGTTTGACATTGATTTGAATGTGAAATTTCAGTACATTCATCATCAAACATCATCATTTAATGATTTTTACAATGGAAATTTTTCTCACTCAGTGTGTGACATGATTGAAATTCGTGATGTAACATTCGAAACATGGAACAATTTTTTTTTATTGTATTGTTTCACTTACCGAATTTAACGATAATATGATTAAACACAACACACACACATTGAAGAAAAAAAACAATTTTCCTTGTAAATATAACAATAATAAATGTAATTTGATTAGAATAAATGTATGGGAAAATTTTTTGATTATTTCGTATTCTTATAATAATAAAAAAAAAACTACAATAAAATTTCAAATGATTTTTTAAAAAATATAATTTTCTATTATTGTTTTATTTTTGCATTGTTTTTCTCCTGACTATTTATTCTCATTCACAAAGTTATTCGACTGAAATATTTCGGAAATTGTAATTTTTCCTTGCAAGAAAAGAAATACCGAAACTTGTTATTCAATTTTCGTGTGTGAGTTTATGTGGTAATCATTTTTTTTTCTATTCGAGCAGCTAATCATCATCATCATCATAAAATAACCGAATAAAATTATTTTTTTTTTAAATTTAAAGATAACAACATTACATTTTGAAATATTCAACGAACCATGAGTGGTAAGAATAAAGATAATTCAGTTAAAAATAAAATGTCTAATAAGACAAAAAATGTTCCGGATAAAAGTTTAAAGAAAAAACAACAAACTGCACCGACAAAAGCAGGACCACCGGATACAAGTAAAAAAAGTGGAAGAAATTCAGTAAAACAACAAGGTAATGAAAAAAGTAAAACAGTTAAACATATGCCACCACCACCACCACCACCAACGCAACATTATTCGACAAAAAAATCATCACGTGATAGTGGTTCGATTAAGAAAAAAGATAAAAATTCATCGAAAAAATCTAAAACTGAAAGTACAAAAAAGAAAAAACCTGATAAACCTAAACCAAAATTGATGAATAAACAAATGGAAATGGAAACAGCAATACAGACAAAGACTGGTGGTAATTCACCAATACAAAAATCTAAAAAAGATAAATCTGGAAAAACAGCAGCAGCAGCAGCGGCAGCAGCAGCTGCAGCAGCAACAGCAGCAGCCGCAGCTAAAGAATTGGAAAAAGAATCCACCAAAAAATCAAGAGCTGAAGAATTACCATCCGATATGGAACAACCATCTGATTATGCGGATGCACAAGAATCACCACCGAAAATTGAACAAACAACAACCGAATTGCAACATCCAAAGGAAAAAGAATCAACCGCACAACAAACACCACCAGTATCGGATATTGAAACATCTGAAGATAAATCATCAAAGAAAAAAAGACATGATGAAGAAGATGATGAAGAAAGTGGTGAAAGTAAAGATGATGAATTACATGAAAGTGATCAACAAGATGATGAACGAACATTATCATCATCACAAAATGATGATGATGATGATCCAACATCATCAACATCGGCTGATGAAATGACTGGTTCGGATACAGAAAATGCATCCGATAATGATGTAAGTGATGATAAAGGTAAAGAAAAAGAAAAAGAAAAGGAGAAAGAAAAAGAAAAAGAAAAGGAAAAGGAGAAAGAAAAGGAAAAGGAAAAAGAAAAAGAAAAAGAAAAAGAAAAAGAAAAAGAAAAAGAAAAAGATGATAGTGTTAAGAAAAAGGATAAAAATAAAACAACAACAAAATCGTCATCATCATCACCACCACCACCAGCCGATTCTGAACAATTGGAATCAACAAAACCAACTATTAATCAGCAATTGAAAGCAAAAAAAGGTGGCGCTGCTTTAACAACAGCAATGGGTACTAGCGAAAGAATTACAAAAGCTGAATTTGAATCATTGAATGATGAGGTAAATGAATAATAAGATTTATTTAAATAATTTTTGTTTTCTAATTATCATTTTTTTAATTTACATTCATAATATTGTGTGTGTGAATAATACCTTAGATAAATGAACTAAATTCCGGTGTAAATACATTAAAACATTCATATGGTAGTATAATTAAATCGTTGATTGCAATGCAAAATAAACGATTATTGAAGAAAAAATTAGCTAAACAACAACAACAACAAATGGCATTAGCTGATGGAAAAAAAGTTAATTTTCTAGTAACATTATCAACAATGGATCCAAAACAAAAAGAAGAAATGGCATCAGGAGGTGGAACAAATGAATCATCATCAATGAATAGCGATAAATTTAATATGGAAAATTTTCTTAATCCAATGACACGTGAAAATACATTTCAGATGTTATTCAATGAGGTAATGTTTGTGTTTGAATTAATTCTGTTTTTGTTTGTTTCAAATATTCAAATTCAAACTAATTAACACTAATGATATTTGTTTTGTCCATTATTTAAATTAAAAATAAAAAAATAAAATAGGTCGATGATTTAAATAAACGTACCGAACATTTACGTACAAATTTTTATGATCGTCGTGGTAATTTTTTACGTGCCAAATATGAACAATCGGATTATCATTTGGATAGGAAAAAATTTAATCATTTAAAACTATGGGTAAGAGGGAATAGGATAGGAGTAGTGTAATGAATAATTTTAACCCTTTCTTTCTTTTCATTTGTTGAAAATTTATAAAGACAAAAAATTTATTGACAATTGTAAGTGAATTGGCTCGTAATTATAATGATGATCTACTTAATATGTTTCGTTTGGTTTAAACAAAACAAACAAACGAAAAGAAAAGAAAAAGCAACAGAGATTCGAAGACAACAACAAAAAAAAAATCCGGAAGCAAAAGAATCATATACCATCATCATCATCATCGATTGATGATTTTAATTCTGTATTTTTGTTGTTTTTGTTGAAGAAAATTTTATGAAAATAAAAAGAATCTATAAAAAAAAAAATTATTTACAATGTCCATTCTTTAATTTGAAATATCTAACAACAAACAAAATTAACACACTGCTTCCCACCACTAATCATAGAAAAAAAAGTTTTAATTCAATGATTCTATAGATTCGTGCTTGCGCGCTTGTATACACTGAATAAATAAATAACCAACAGTTTCCGCATTTTTCGTTTCTCCATTTTTTTTTCGGATTCCTTGATTGAACAACCAGCATCATCATTGAATTCCGAAAACTTAATACATCAAGCCACAGACATTTCAATTTGACCTTAATTAAATACGATAAAACATTTTGAAAACTTGATAAAAATGATGGTCACATTTTACAATTGCTTTATTTAATGATGATAATACAATATGACCAGCATCATTATTATAACACAAACAGAATTGCAAGAAACAATCAAGTAAAATAAAACAAAACAAAACAAAAGTCGACAAACAAAAGCTAATTAAAAACACAAACACATCACATACACACATACAGACAAAAATGATAATAAAAAAAAAGAAAAAAGAAAATTAATTCAATTCAACCACCAACACACACATAAACAATGCATTGACAATAACAATAGTTTAATGGAAAAAAATTATTCTGGATAAAATAATAATGTCGAATGTGTTTAATGTGTCCATAATATTATAAAAGGTAGTAAGTAAGATCGGTTGATGATGATGGTAAAATTTAATGATGATAATCATTCATTATATATAAAGAAGTTGTGATAGAAATCACTGTTTGTTTGTACTTTGGTGGTTTTGGTATACATTTTGTTCATTCGAAAAAACTAACTTTGCACACTCTATCATCTCCAAAATGAATACAAAAGATAAATTTTTGGTCATCTAATTTTATTTGTTTCTCTATTCGGTTTTTCTTTGTTGCTTTAAAAAAAAGATGACAAAATTAATTGAAAAAAAAACTGTTGTCAACAACAACAATAAAAACAATAAAAACAAAGAGAAATCAATTAGTATCAATGGTTGTTGTGTTGTTAATGATTCTCATTTCTTTATGAAGCAAAAGTTCTTGATCTTTTTTGATCGAACGATTTGTACGAATTTCAACCATACCATTTTCATCATTTAAAATTGGTTCCAAATTAGTCAAACAAATATGTTGTTGTGGAAAGAATATTCCGGTCAACAATAATAGACGACGTTCTTTACGAAAATTTTCACGAAAATCTACTGGTTCCATTTCAAATTTAGTAAATGGTGATGTCATAAAACGTTTTAGATCGATAAAAATTCTAACAATCAAATCATTCGGTGTTGATATTGATTTATCAATATCTGTTAACCATTGAAATGTTTCCCATTTCATCATCAATTTTGGATTATTTAATCGTTTATATTTACATTGAATACCATTTTGCATAAAAACATCATACAAATAGGTAAATTCAATAGCCATTATTAAACCAGCATAATAATAACGTTTATTACGTGAAAATTCTAAACGTTTACTATGTTTATCCATTGTTTGACGAAAAACATTCAATAATAAACATTTGGATTCATAATTTTTTCGTTCAATTATTGATTGTAAAAATTCTCGAATATAATCCATTTCGGATGAATATGGAGAAATTGGTGAACTTTGTGTACGAAAATAAAAACGTAACATTAATATCATGATAGGCAATTGACTTGCATATCTTGTTAGACCACATTCAAATCGATGATATTCAAATTCTTTTTCATAACATTGTTTACTACAATAAACAACTAATGAACAAAATTGACATGGCCAATAAAGAAAATTTCTTATATATCGATCACAATAATTACAATTATCAAATGTTCGTGTATTAAATTTAACGATTGGTCTTTCGAATAGTACGGAAATATTTTCACCAACATTATCATTACGACAAACAATTGTACATGGTTTAGTTGTTTTGATTGAATCCCAAACAATTTCAAAATCATTTTCATTAATTTGAAAATTTCTTTGCGGTTGTTGTTGGTGTTGTTGTTCACCGGCCATATGATCATTGAATAATTTGGATAATCGATTTTTAAATTTTCCATAAATATCTTTTTCCAAATTATTCATCGTTGACCAAACATATTGATTACCGGCAGCATTTTGTGCAAATTCAAAATCAATAGCAGCAGCTTCTTCATCATCTAATTGAAGAAAACAACGTGCACGTGTCATATAAATATTGGCCAATGTTTGATAATCTGATTCACTATTAAGTGGCTGATAAACGATTGCCTTTAAAACGATTGAAATGAGAAAAAAAACGTTAAACATTAAAAAAAAGGTTATTTTAATATTTATACCTTGGAAAAATCTTTGGTCGCTTCTTCCGTATCATTTAAATCAAGATTAAGTTGACCTTTTGATTGATGTTTTTGGCTTAAATATTTTGATTTATAACTTGTTGTTCTTGCTTCATTAGATGCTGCTCTAATTTCTTTTTCAGCACGATCAAGATGATATTTTCCTGAATCCAATAAATATTGAAGAATTTGTGAATCTTTTTCCATTTCAGGTTCAACATTCATAAAAATATCATTCAATTTAGCATCATTAGACATCCATTCAACAAGATTTGATAAATATAAATCTTTACGTTGTTTTGCCATATTAGTAGTATTTGAATAATTAGAATTACTTGTTTGGCTAATCGACATTGTTTTTGATCGTCGTTCCATAAGCAATTTCAAGATATTAGTATTATTTTTTAAATTCTTCAAAAACTGTTCATTTATTTATTTTTATTTATCCAGAAACAATATCGAAAAAATCAAAATTCGATTGAACAAAATCAAATTCAAAATTCCAATTCACTCAATAATGGAAAAAAATGCATTATTCGACTCGTTCGAGAATTTGGCAATTGTTTTTTTTTATTGTTTTGTTGCTTTGATTCTTTGGAGATTTCACCGAAAACAACATTCAGCCAAAAATATGAAATTCAACCAAATTCATAAATCAAATCATCAAAAACTTGACTATAAATCAAAGATACTTGAAATTATCGGATATATGAAAGTTTTCTTCGGGGTCGGTTTTCAAGAATATCGATTTTTTTTTTGACCATTATATAAAGAGAGGAACCACTGATTATTATTATTTCTGATGAATTAGCATTTCTAATTCACCATCACATCCACCCTTATCATCATCATCATCATCATTTCAATCCCATTCATTTTTTTTCCCCGATTCAGTGTAATAGTGAAAAACAACAACAACAACAACAACCAGATAATTCAATTAGAATTGAAGATGGGATCGGCCAACATATCGGTCATTCAAAAAAAAAAAAAAAAAAAAAAAAAAAAAAAAAAAAAAAAAATTCCAATGCCAATTTGTATTCGAATCGAAACACTTGACTTACAAAGAAAAAAATGAACAAGACTTTTTTTTTCATTCAATCAAAACTTTATTTTTATTTTCATAAGTATCTCATTGGACACATCGTATAGCAATTTTATATTAGACAGATAGATAGATGTGTATTTGGGGATGATAATGTAAAGCCTGGACTAATGTTTTACTAAAAGTAACGGAAAAAATAACAAGCGAGAAAAACAAACACACAAAAACACACACGCAAAGATAAAAGTTTCTAAGAAGAATTCACCTGGCACACACACACACACTTACACTTGTGAATAAATAAGAAATAAGTTACAAGGTGACAAACATACATCACCTACTTACAGAATCCATTGATTTTGGTTTGTTTTTGTTACCTCAATGCCTGTGTGTGTGTGTGTGTTTTGAATATTTAAAATGAAGCAAAGCAAAGCGAAAAAAAAATATTCATGATTCAAGAATTTATAAAGAGAAAAAAAAATATAAATTGAAAAATAATAACAAGGATATAATAAATAGTTATAGTTCTGTAGTAATAGTTTTTATGTTTATGTCTTGTGTAATGACAGAATAATCAGCAAAAAAAATCAAAACGATGAATCACATTATTAATAATCCAGATATTAAGAATTGTTTGTTTTTTTTGTTCAGATAACGAAAAAAAAAAGAAAAATAAATAAATAGAAAGAAGAAAAAGAAGGTAATAAGTGGCCCATTGAATTTGATTGAAGAAAGAAAAAAAAAATCAGAATCAGCAAATATATCAGGTATGAAAATACAGAATCATCACGATTTTGTTGTTGTTGACAGAATATTTTTTTTTTGCTGATCATAGTGATTATTTTATGAATGATGGCCATATCGGTTTGTTAGTTTTTGCTTGATATGATGAATGAATGAATTGAATTGAAAAAACATTATTGAATTTTCGTATAGTTTGTCCATGGACAAAAAAACATTATTATTTGATTTTGAAAAAATGAAAATGATAACAAAATAAAAATTTGTTTGTGAAAAAAAAGTTTAACATTGAAATATAAATGGATTTTGTTTTTAAAATGTTTTTTTGTCTTTGTTTGTTTATAAAATGAAACAATGAAAATCTAATTTTTATTTTTATTCGTCAAAGTTGATGATTGATTTATCACCCATTTTTTTCCTATTAAGATTCATACATTAATCGTTGATAATGTGGTTGAATTTGCCATGTTGGCAATAGTAAACTGAATTCCAATGCAACCAAAACACCAAATTCAGTATTCAGTAATTCTTTACGATTCAATCGAAAGCCTGATTCAATTTTCTAAATTGAATTGAAATGAAAAAAAAATGAAAAATTACATTTTTAAACGAAAAGAAAAACAAACCTCGATCAAAAGTTTTAAATCGTTTCCTTTCACATCATTCAATTTGGCCGACAAAACTAAACATGCTCCGGCACATAATTTACGATTCTGTTTTGTTATCAACAATTTAAGGATTAATTTTTCAAAATAGACATATGCTTGAGCGATAGTCAAAAAATCCAATCCACACTATTAATTTTGATGCAAGAAAAAAAATTCGGATAAATAAAGACAGAAATTCATAACATTATTACATACCTCATTTCTGGCAATTTTACACATTTCTTTTTTAATCGATCTTAATTTGCTTAATGTTAATTGTATATGTGGAAATCGTTCACGAAATTTATCATTCAATTCTTTTTTCAGATCTTGTGGTTTCACATAATCAATGATTGAAGTCTAGAATTCAAAAAAAAAGAATGACAACATCCATACAAATAAAAAAATTAGTATTCTAAAAAAACATACCACAAATGATGGAAATGCTAACAATGTGGAATGTTTTCCAGCAATCAATTCCGGATCATCCAACAAATTAGGATGATAAACTAATTCTTTCAAACATTGTGGTGAAGCCGTTGCAAAATAAGGCCAATTTACGGTTGAATAATCAATTTTCAAAGGAAATTCCGTTGTAATTGGCAAGCTTGTTCCCTGATCATTATCATTACTGATGCAATTATTATTAATTGGAATTGTTCCCAATATCACTGGACTTGTAATTTCATTGGTCGTAACAACAAATGAATCGGAAAGATGGTGATTATTTCTTAATGATGTTGTTGTTGTTGTTGATGATGATGATGATAAACAACGATTCATTACGATCGAATTATTGTAGACAATTGCTTCGGATATGTTATTTGGTTTTAATTTTTTATTGTTCGTTCGTAGTAATGGACTGAATGAAATTTCTTCTTCAATTGTATCTAATCCTAATTGTTCATCAATGACGCCCATCAATAAATTCGACGAGTCACCATCAGTAATTGTTGATAATTGACGACTACCAGAAATATATCTTGTACTACGTTTATTACTTGAATTAAAACTATTATGATGTTCTTTTGTAGTGGACATAGAATCCGAACGCGATGAATGATATTGATGATGATAATTACGTTTATGATTGACCGGTATGGATGAAAATACCGAAACTGGTTGACGTGTTTTTGCTGTAATAAACACATAGTTTCGACCCATAGTTTCTTGTGGATTCTTTTTATTTACACAACATGATACATCATGATATGGTCGATTACAGAGACGCTGTGATGTGGAACTTATTGATTTATGTGAACCAAATGATGTCGTTCGTATACGATTTAGATTGCCAGTAAATTTCATACCTAAACAAAAATTTCAAATTAATTTTTGTTAATTTAAAAAAAAGAAATTATCATTACCTAGATTTTCCATGCTACCATAATTAACAGTTTTCATCTGTTTTCCACCAATTGAATTATTATTATTCATTTCATTATTCTCATTCTCTGATGAATCATTTAGACTACTTTTTGTGCTTCCACTACTTGTTGTACTCAATTCTGTCGGTTTATTAATTGAACAAAAACGACGTTGTGTTTGTGCATTTTCCTCAATCGAACGAGATAATATTGTTGAACAATGAATTCGATTGTTAGCTGTTGTCGATGTTGTTTTGGTTGTACATCGTGTACAACCAAAACAAATCTGTTCATTTCCATTAATCTTATTCGAAGAACATGGTAAAACTACATCAGCTGAATGTGGTTCGACATAATGTTGTTGTTGTTGTTGATGTTGATGAAGATTATTTAATTGATTATTAATAATATTATGAATTGAATTGATTCCGGGCGATGAATTATCCGATGAAAATGAAGATGCAACGGAATTTATTGAATATGAATACTTTTGATTACCAAAATTACGAATCGAATCGGTTTCATCAATACTTAATGAACGGTTATTATTTTTATACAAATTATGATGATGATGATGATCGTCATCCGTATTTGATCGACAACTACTAGCATCAATGATCATCATCTTTGTAGCCGATGAATCAATTATCGATGATGATGATTGTACATTCCAGTCGATATTCTCTTTTTCAGCAACATCCATTGTATTGGATGTTGCCTCAAATATTGTGTTATCAACACAGCTTTTATGGTCAACATCGTTGCCTATTTACCAAAATAAAAGAAAAAAAATTTCATTATAAAATGAATGGATCAAATTGTATTAATATTACAAAAATTACTGGATCGTTGATGTTGTTGTTGTACATTTGTGTTGTTATTTGATGAATATTGATGATGATTTAGATTTAAATTGAATATGACACCAAGATTAGTATCACGATGTGAACCATCTAATGAAATATTTGATAAAAATGTTATTGCAGCAAGACGTCTTCGCGACTGTTGACGTTTTATGGCAGCAGCCATTTGATTCTTTTTGTTTTCTTTTTATAAAATTTGTTGTTACTGGTTTTGTTTATAAATTTTCGCAATGATTCTTTAACCAAAATGAATTTTATACAGATAATTTCAAATTCAAAGTAACTTATTTTCTTTCAAAAGAAAAATTAAGAAACCAATGGATGACTCAATGACAGTTATTCGATGATGATAATAAAAACCAGGCCAAGATCAAAAGATTAGCTATAAGTAATCCTAAATAGAAAACATAAATGAAAACAAAAACAAATCATTAATATTCAAATATATGATGATCAAATTACTAACTTGTCTGTTTGTTTGCTTTGAATCTTGAAGCCAATCAAATATCAATCTATCTATATTTATTTATCGTATTTTTATTCAATCGAATTTATAATTGTAATATTTTTTTGTTCCTTTGATGACGAATTATCAAAATTTAGCCGCCAGATTTTATCCCCCCCCAAAAAAAACACATTTGAAAAACATAAATATATAGAATAGTGGAACAAAAAAAAAACAATTAACTAACAAGAAAGAAAAAAAAACGGAAGAGCACTTTTTTTTGCTTCGTGTTTCAAAAACCGAAGACACAAACACAGAAAAAACACACACACACACTTAAACTGTTATTACACAATGAATAATAACATCACACTTTTTTGTTGAATTTCGTAGATTTTATCCAGTTGTTGTTGTTGTTTTGTTATAATAAAGGTTTATGTTTAGTCACTAATAACAGAATGAGCATTAAATTTATACATCCATGATAAAGAAATGTTAATGTTTTTGAACCATATTTTGATATTGGATTAATAATTTGTATCGATGAAGAAAATCGATGATTCTGAGGATGATTATCTATTCCATGATTATTATTTTCAAATTTATCATTATTATAATCAAATTGTTGTTGTTGTTGTTGTTGTTCTCGATGCCGTTGTTGAAATTTAAATGAAGATGATGAAATCATGATTACTAATGTTTTTGTTTTCTTTTTTTCTTGTTAAGATGATTTGTTGTTGTTGTTGTTGTTGTTGAAAAACGCTTTTGAATTTAGTAGAATATATTGAAAATTACTGTTGCTGTTACTGATCAATTGTCATTGATGATGATGAATTTTTCACAATTTACAAATGGCAGAAAAAAAATCCAAACAAATTATCCAGGTAAGTAGAATACCTTTTCAGAGAAATCCTATATTTAATGAAATAATTTTTAATGAAAAGAGATGAAAAAATTCAATTCAAACATACCTCTCAAAAATTTTTCTTTAATCATTCAAATGAAATGCCAACATACAAATTCGTACAACATAATTATTTTCGTTTTCGCTTTTTGGAAATTTGAAAATGGCCCAAAATCTATTCCGACATTGAAAGGCCAGGATTTATATTGATCAACATTTCTGGATTACATAGTTTACATTTTGAACGAAAAATATTTTTAAGATTCAAGTTGATATCCTTGTTGTTTGGATTTGGTTGATTTAGAATTTAATTTAATTTTGGAACTTAAATACCACCACAAAAAACGGATGTAAAAATTTTATCTTTAAACAAAAAAAATCTTAGGTGTTCTGTTCAAACAAAATCAAATTTTTCATTCAAGATCACAATCACGGTTACGGTTGATAAAAATCTACAGACAGAAAACAAAAAAAGAAAAAGAAAACATCAATAAAATTTTTAATCATTGAATCGAAACATTGTTTCATTGTCATAAATGATAAATGATGACCTCAGTAATCAGTAATCGACAATCAAACCAAAAAAAGAGATTAATGACATTGAAAAAACCCAAGTCAGAAGGTAGGCTTGAATCGATCGCAAATTAATCGAACAGAAAATGAAATTGTTCTGGAATAAATGAAAACAAATAACAATCCAAAACGATTGATTGCAAAGTTTTTTTATATCATTTTTTTTCCAAAAAAAGCCGGTTAGACTAGGCAGAAGAGAAACATGAATTGTTTATATAGACATACAGGCATAAATCATAAACATTCAAAAGATAATATGCCATAAACAACAACAGAAAAGAGAAACAAAACATCATCATCATCATTATTGTCGAAGCAACAAATTAACAATAAAATATAATGGATATATCCATCGTCATCATCATCTAAGAATAGAAACCATAAATGATGATGATGCAAACAATGAAGAGAGATAGGGGGAGAGATAGGGGGAAGGTTAAATTCTGTACAAATTGTGAACAGTACTATGTGCATTGACAAACTAAACCAGAATGGAATGTATCCAATGATGATGATTCGGGAACAAAGAGGGGAAAAAATGTTGTAGATCATTTCATGAATATATATAGATATTCATGGCATGTATTCAAATTTATAATTTTTTTTTTACTATATAAACATTTACTTTGTTTTTAAAAGTCTTTTTGTTTTTGTTCATCATTACTATCTATTTTGCACAAATCCGGAAACAAAACAAAAAAAATTAAAAAAATAAAGTAAACATTACTATTAACGGATGCCAAGTTGGCAAACATCGAAAAAATTTTTGTTTACTTTTGTGTATCATATTTTTGTGTTTTTCTGGAACAAAATTAAATGGTCAAACTTACCTAAAAGAGAAATTATGCCGGGTTTTTTTTGGGTGGCTGGTATGCGAGAATTTTGCTAGAAATTATCTTTTTTTTTCGTTTATAAATTACAATGACGAGTTGGATGCTGAGTTTTCTTTTTGGTTTTTATTTCACAAAATGATTATTAAAATTAGTAATCCTTTTTCCAAAAAAAAAACATACGTAGCAACAATGATAATTTACCGATGATAATGAAATAAATTATATCTAATTTTTTATTTAAATTTATAACGAAACCAAATGAAAATAATACTATAGAAGATAGTTGATAATAGCGGTGATATGATTATTAAGAAAAGATAATGCTAATGATTTTTTTTAAAAGAAAATACATTCAATTTATATCAAAAAAATGTTTTTTTTTCTCGTTGTACTTACAGTCTCAAATACTTTAGAAATTCTTTCGATAAAACATTATGCCGACCCGAATGAATGAATTTTTTGGACAAGGACAAACTTTCTATAGTATCCGCAGCAGCAGCAGTAGATGCTAATGATGAAATGAAAATTTTTTTTATAATTTCTTAATGAAAATAAAAAGAAAGATGAAACATAAACATAAACATAAACAACAACAACTTTGGAATTACGAACAACTTGTGAACTCACACAGTTAATAACGAGAAAAAAATCGAACGCGCGCGCAATGATGATGTCCAATTGGATATATAGCAAAAAAAATTTTTCTTCGTTAATTTTTTTAATCCAAATCAAAAAGAAAAATCGAATAATCAATCAACCGGCTTATTTTTTGGAATAATCTTTTTTTTACAAATTTGAAAAGGTCATGGTGCCATTGCCTTGTTAAATGTCAAAGTTCAAAGATAAAACCATCCAATTTTTTTTCGTTTCGCAGATCGTATATCATCGATGGATACGTACATTATGAATAAGTCGCTCGTAAATCGAATGCAAGTTTGAAATCGATTTCAAAAAATATTTTTCAAAAAATTATTTTTATTTTGGTTTTAAAAAAATACAAAAATTAAAAATCAATTAACAAAAAGGATTGGAAATAACCGAATCTGATGATGTACTTCTTTGATGACATTGTAAGTCATTCATCATTGAATGGTTGTTGTTCTTTTTTTTTGACCTGTCATTGTTGTTTATCATCTTTTTTTTTATCTGAAACAAACAATAGGTTCTTCTAAAAAGTTGACATCGAAAAAAATAGATTCGCGAATCTGACAAGGAAAAACACTGATTTTCATTACTGAATTAATCAATAGGTTCATATATAAAATCATGGGACTTGTTTTTGTATGCAACGAACAAACAAAAAATTTTAGCTTGTCATTGTTATTTTGTTGATTTTTTTTCGTTTTTTAAAAATAGTTAAAATTCAGTAAAATTAAAAAATCTTTGTAATAAATAAATAGATAACAAAAAAAAATTATTTAGCAAATGAATACAATCCAAGGCCAAGAAATTGATCAAATATTGTATCAGGTAAATATTGTGTAATTAATTTACGTTTATAACCACCAAATATACAACAATGATGTAAAAATTGTAACATGTTTAATGCTTCGATTGGAATTTCTTGTTTTTGTTGACTATAATAATAATAATAATAATAGGAAATGTTCATTAGAGAATTATGAACGAAAAATCAAAAAATTTTAAAACTACTTACTTCGGGGAATGAGCTGCCTGAATACAAGCATTAACAAATTGTGAACTGAAACGAAAAAAACGTATAGCCAAATCATTATGAAATTGTCGTAATATGGTCAATATGCCAAAAGTGAATGGTATACCATCGATTGATTCATTATTTTTCTGACTAGATATAGATGATGTTAATGCATTAATATCTTTAACATAGATAAATTTTGGCATCTGTGATATAAGCAATAATAATAATATGCTTTCGAAATTTGGTGGCAAACGATTTTTAGTGTAAATCTTTTTTTTTTGGTGAGGGGGAAAAAGATATTGATTAGTTATTAATGTAATAAAAAATCTCTAGTTTTTTTGTTGTTGTTTACCTTGAGCAATGGTTCGGATTGGCCATTATATTCAAGATAATTAGATAATTCAAATAAAAGTGGACTTTCATCTTTAAAAATTGATGAAAGTTTTTCTGTAGCTTCTAATGATTCATCATTGATGATTTTATATGATTGTTTTTGAAAATCTGCAATCAATGAATTGTTCAGTACTTCCAGTGCTGATGATAATTGTCGTGCATGAAATTTTGATGCCATTCGTAATTCATAGCAAAGATTTTGACGAATAATTTGTAATTGTCCAACATGTCCAATCGATTTAGCTAATTTGGCAAGAATTTTCGCTAAACGATTCATCATAGGCAGATAATAAGCAACAAAACTTTTTGCTATCAATCAAATAGAATTGGAGATAATTAAAAAATTATGATTATTCGAAAAAAAATTATACTTACAAGTTATAATACCATTCGGTGTTTCATTATTTAGATAATTATCAATAATGGCAAAACATTCTGTTGTTGATTTACTACGTGTAAAATTCATATCAATCATACGAATAATTGAATTTAATTCGGCAACAATTTGAAATGAAACCAGCCTGTCCAAACCATTTGTACCGGATACACCAAAATTTTTCAATATTAATGAAAATAATTTCGAATCAATCAATTCTGAACGTGTTCGTTGATCATACCATGTTGAAATACCATATACATAGATTGTTGTATGATAATTTGTTATTCGTGTTAATTCTTGTACAATACGACCAATAAAATTTGTTGATTGTTGATCTAATGGTGGATATTTTGGTATTGGTACCGATTTTGATTGATATAATGATTGATAATCAAGTACTTTTTGTTTCATAAATGCATTACATTCTTGTTCAACATTATAATTAATTATACGTGATAATTCTTCTTGCCACATTTTCAAACCATTTATACAAACATAATCTTGTATATATTCGAATGTACGTCGGAAACCATCCATTATTCGTTTTAATTCTTCCAATTTTGAATGAATTTCAATAGTTTTTGATTTGGAATTAAATACAATTGTATTATGAAATGCATCAACAACTTGTCGTACTAATTCTCTTCGTATACCTTCTTCTAATAATTTTTTCGGATCAATCTGTATAACACCTACTAATGTTGTTTTCATTGCTAATATACCTTCAGTAAAAACCGATATTGAATGTGTTAATCGAGCAATTTCATAACGTTCATCTAATTGTGCATAATTTTTTAATTGATCTTTCATTAAACGTGTTGGTAATTCACGTAATGTATTTGTTTGTATGTTGATTATATTAGCCATCAATGTAAACATTGTTTCCGGAATAATATGCAATACTTTACGTACATAGGAAACTAATTCGGATGAATAAAATTGTGATACCATTATTAAATCTGGTGATCGAGCCTGATTTATTCTTAACAATGGTAAATCTAATGCTGAGGCAAGTTTTAAAAATGCTGCACGAAGTTTTGCAACTAAACTTGGATCTTTTTTAATTCCTTCTTGCATAAATTGTGTAAAACAATCATCAATAATACGCCATGCATATGAAAGATCGGCAATAATCTGTTGTGTGATTAAAATTTCATCTCGAATGCCAATCGTTTTGATCATTAAACAAAGATAATTATGTGTTTCACATAAACATTGTTTCACCTGTAGATTACTTTCTAATTGTCCAAGTTCTTGAATTTCTTCCAATGATTTAATAAGCTGTACTAATTTTCTTGACATTTGATTGGCCTGATTTCTATCATCAATATCATTATCATCACCAGTTTTCAAATGAATATCATCAATTTTTTTAGCAAAATTTTCAAACCAATTCTGTAGATTTGCATTCGGTTCAATACGACTTAATGGTTTTTGTCCGGAAAAAACTTCGGCCAATTCTTTGATTCGACTACAAGATTCTTCACGATATTTATTCACTTTATCATTACGATTCTGTAGAATTTGTTTATAAATATCTCTAATACGTAATTCAAATTCCGATGTATTCAATAATAAATGAAACAATTCAATTGAATTGAATTTTAATTCGGTAATAATTTGTTCACGAATCTGACGACAACGTTTCATTGAATGATGTGTATCAATAAAATCACCTTGCATAGTTACCGTATGTAACATAATCCAACGTAATGTAACATTAGCATTACGGCTATTATTCATATATTCATTAATTTTATTCAGAATTGTTTCTTCTGTTATAATACCTTCTTTTAAAAATTGTGGTATTTTTCCATTCAAATCATTCATTTCGTTACGAAATCTTTGTGCTAGGATTCGTATATTTTTACTATCAATTGTATTGTTTAATGCTGCTTTAGCTGCTTTATATGGATCCCAATGTTCAATTAGATTAACAATAGTTCCCATATATATAGAAATAACAAAATTATCAGCAAAAAATTTATCCACTATTTCACGCATTATTGCAAATTCATTTGATAAAATGTCCGGTACAAAATATAAACATACAAATAACATTGATGCTTGTGTGGATAGACCAACTGAACGATGTTCTGGTTTAGGATAAACAGATGATAAATTATAAACATCATCGGAACGTAAACGACCAATAATTAATCGTACAAAACTGGTACGAATTTTAGTACGTTTGAAAAAATCTTCCGGATAATTGGATGGCCGTTTTAAGTTGGATGAATAACCGGTTGAACGAATCAAATTACAAACATCATCAATACGAGAATCACAAGAACGAGATGCTGAATATCGATAATAAGAGACTAGTATACGTTCACGAACAATTCCATTGATTTCACGATCCATTGTCAATAAAATTATACCCATCAGATATAAAGCTTCACATAATAATTGTTTACCATCATGATCCATCAATACAGTTTCGATTGTTTGTTGTATATAGATTCCATCATCTAATTCGGTTAAATAACGTTCCAAATCGATTGCATAACGATGTATACTTTCGAATAACAGGTAAAATTTTGACAATAATTCAATATATGTTTCACGAAATTCTTCATCTTTGATCAATAATTTTTCATCATTTTCGATACGTTTTTCAATTGCATCAGATGATTTGAAATAATTAAAATCCATTATTAAATCATTGAATTGATTATTATTTATATTCTGACGATTATTTGAACTGTTGTTGATTGTTTCCATTCGAAATACATTCGGTACCATATCGGCAAGATGATGAATTTCAGCAATAATAGCATTACCTTGTGAAACGATTCGTAATAGATTTTGACCACAGACATTATTATCTTCAAGAAAATCGTGCATTTTTCAAACACAATTTAGTCTTTTTTTTCGATTTAAAAATGATAAATAAAAATTACACCCGAAAATTAAAATTTTTTTATTTTGATTCGTACATTTTCCAGGAACATTCTTTGCGACATACAATCAAATATTTACGAAATATTTTTTTTCGAAAAAATACGAATTTTTATTTTTATTTTTTCATTTTTTTTATTAAAAAAGTTTAACAATCGAAGTAGATTTGACATGAAAAAATCTTTTGGATGACTTGAATAATTTAATAAATAAATGCAAAAAAAAAATTTGTTACAAATGAACAATGAACACTATGGTTTAATTCGTGCCTGAATAGTTGGCCATCCATTTGACATCCGTGAATTATTATTATTGTTGTTGTTGTTGATGCCATAACCATAGATGGGCTCATAAACATCATTAATAGATACGTATGGATCCGAATCTGTTGATGATTCATTTGTTGATGATTTTGATTTTGGTATTTTTGTATTATTAATATTATTATTTTGTTTTTTCTGTCGTCGTGATGTAAGTATATTTATATAATTAGATGAAAGAACTTTACGCATCATCCAATTTAAACCTTTCGTTTTTGTAACATTAGCAACATTATCATCATCATCATTATTATTATTATTATTTGAATTATTTTGATGATGACGATGATTTGTATTATGCAAACGATTCGATGTAACACGTGCTTCAAGACCTGAATAATATGGATCTTCATCCAAACGATTTATATTCATTAATAGATTTGGGCCATCACCTTTTAATAAAAATAAAAATAAAAATGATTAAACAAAATGACAACAGAAACATTGTTATTACCTCTAAATGTACGATTAATCGATGTAGAATTTGTTGAAAGATGATGAAATGAAGATGGACCAGTCACGGTTCTACCATTATTATTATTATTACTATGATAATATGTCGGCATTGATTTTGTCATCGAACGTTCATATCGATCATTAATTGTTGTTGATATCGGCCAATTTTTATTATAATAATGGTTATTATTATGATTGATACGGCTATTTTGTTCACGTTGATAATGACCATTTCTATTATTATTTAACATTATTGTTCCATAAATATTTTCATCAACATCATCATTATCATTTATTAAACGTTTTGTATTTGTACGATTTGATCTAGATTTTATTGTATTATTAGTTGTATTGGTGGTTGTGGTTGATAATATTTCATCATTATTATGATGATAATCCGGTGATGGAATCTCTACTGATCGTCCAAACGTTGAATTATTATGATTTTTTTGATTTTTTCTTGCCGATTTTATCGTATTAATCTGTCGAGAAAGTTTTTTCTTATCACGTGGTGGTAATTTTGGTGGTTTATTAGTATTAATTGTATTGATTGACATTTCTGATTGTCGTGATGGAAGCATAGGTGGATGAATATTTATCAATGTTGGCATTGAATGTGGTCCATTTTCATGTGAATATAATAATCTATTATTACGTCTATTATTATCACCATTAGTAAATCGATTATTTTTCCATGAATAATTATCACCATATGATGATTCGTTTATTTTTCCATAAATTGGATAATGATTATCATCATCATCATCATCATCATTAATATCATTATCTGAACCGTCATCATATTGTTGAAATATTGATACAAATTCTGGTACTGGTCGTTTCTTTTGTACAATATTACGATACATGACTGTATTGATTGATTAATAAAATATTTTTAGTTTGAAAAATTGCTTTTTTTATAAAAAAAAGTTAATAAAAAAAATCTTTACCTGGATTTAATTTTGATTTTAACATATCCAATGCAACAATATTGATTAACATAACATAACAAGGCATATCTAATATTGAATCTGGATGATCACGAACAAAACCAATAATAATAATACATTGTTGTTCTAAACGATAACGATCAGGATATGCTGATTTTAATTCATTCATCATTGCCATTTCAAATTTTGACATATCAAATAATAAATATTTTTTCTGTAATTCTAAACAACCATTCATACGTTTAATATTATTATCTACACATGAATGACTATAATCTAATGGATATGATCGTACAAATACATTTGACATACTATAACGTTTGATTAATATATTTCCATTATCATCGATACCGATACGACATCCCTATTTTTTTGTTTGCAAAATCAGGGAATAATCAGGGAATGAATTCAAATTTATTCAAATGATCAAAACAAAAAACAAAATTAGCAATTTAAATTTATTCAAAAACAAAACAAATAAATTAGAATTTAACCTTTTCAATTGAATTCATTAATTGATCGGTCATTGAATCTCTAAATGGATCTTCAAAACCATTCAAACCAACACGATAACCATCAAAACCATTATCAGTACCATCGATTATAACAGCAGGAACACGTACATATGCTTTAGCAATACGACGATTACGGCTCATAAATATCATTTTTGCCCATATTTCATCATCAATTTGTTCCCATTTACGTAAAACTTCAGCTATATGATCCTAAATGAAATAAGAAAAAATAAAAATGAAATTATATTGAAATCGGCCACCGGGCAATTATATTTTTCTTGAAAATAAACCAAAAAAAACTATAATTTTTATCGGGCAAAAATAATTATCATTTTGATCTAGATTTTTTCTTTCTACATTGTAATATTTCTTGTAAAAAGTTATTTATTTCCCGTTCGTTTTTTTTTCTCGTAATAAACATTGGTCATTAAAGTATACAAAGACAGCAAAATAAGTAATCAGTTGACCAAACAACCAACAATAACAACATTGACCGCTAATCATTTTGTTTTGTTGTTGTTGTTGAAATAATTGATTGACCAACCAAAAAAAAAAACTAACCGATTTTCTTTCCCCTCGAAAAAGAAAACATAATGGTTTTGACCATCATTATCATTCTCACGACAGATTAAAATCGATTTACCTTGTTGTTTTTTTTGCCCTCTACGAACACAAAACACACTTAAATCATTGAATAGAAATTACCCTTGATCGATGGAATTTTGTTTTGTTAAAATATTGTTCCAAATATAGCCAAAAACATTCAATTCATCCTACATACACTCTTTTTGTTTTCTTATGGACAACACAATTTCAATGTCTCTTCAGCACATCCACGAAGATTAATATATATTTTTAAAAGCAAGCAAACAAGCGCGTAGTGGCTATATTTAGTCATCCAAAATAATCATCATCATCCAAAACAGAAAATGACTAAATTTATGGATCATCATCAAATGGTTTTGATGCATTGTATAAAATTCATATATAAGCCGTATGATGATAAATGACCTCGATGATGCTTATGGCCTTTCATCATCATCATTGAATGTCATTCATTTATTCATATGGTGGCCAATCATCAAATTCTTGAAAACAAAAACAAAAAATAAAAAATTTCCAAAAAAAATTATCAAAATCTGGTCAAAATAATCATCATCTGATCACATTGACAATGAAATTTATTTTCGTTGATAATTATCTATGATGATAATCAACTTTCAATGTGTGTGTGGCGAAATTACTAACGTAGATAAACGCAGATAAAGAAAAAAAGTCAATTAAAAACAATTATTAAAAAGCCACACAAACAAACAGAAACACAGATACAGAAAGTGAGAGATAAAAACAAATAAAACATTACATAATCGTTTTTTTTTTTGTTTAAATAGGTTGACAACAACAAACAACAAACAACAACAAACAAAATCAAGACAAGATAATTTGATGATCATCATCATCATCTTGAATGATTAAACATGGAAAGATTTTCTTGGAATGAAAATAAAAATTTACTAAAAACAGAACGAAACAAAACAAAACAAAAAAACATAATGACATTTGAGAATTCAAGTTATTGGAAACAAAAATTATTCATTATTTGGAAACATTTAGCGAAAAAAAAAAATATTTAGTGCAAACTGTTGAATTGAATTGATAAATATAAATGTATCGAAAATCATTGTCAATCTATGTCAATGTCAAACTAACAACAACAACAACAACTTGGAACATTTAAAATTCAAAAAAAAAAATGCTAAATTTTCAAAATTTAGCTTTTTCTCTGATAAATATTATCATCAAAAAAAAAAAAAATAATCAGTGAAAAGATGATAAAACAAGGTAAAATTCAAGTCTTTTACAAAATGTGGGAAAAAGAAAATAAATCAATCAATGTGGATGTGAAAATAGATTTTTTTTTATTTTACTGCAGCTCAGGTCAATGATTAATTTTTTTCTGTTTTTGTTTTCATCGATAACTTCAATGATGATTATGGCGAACATAAATTATACCTTCGAGGGCTAAAATGGAAAATAGAAAAAAAAATTTCTTGTTTCAAAATTCTAAATCAACGGTTCGATTCAATTATCATCAACAAGCAGTAACGAGAACAAGAAAAAAAAGAAAGGATTGGCCAATATCATCATCATCATCACTTGAGAAAATATCAGATAGCGAAGCTACTGTTATGTTTGTGTTCAACTATGATGATGATGATGATATATCCACTTATCATCCAATGGAACATAATTGAAATGGACTTGGAAAAGCGCCCGAAAAAAAAAGTTTTATACATTTTTCGACGTTTGAACCTTTTTTTTCATATGTAATTTATTACAATGATTATGGACAAGCATTTTTTTTTGTTTTTTGCTTCGAAACAAAACAAAAATGAATTCAAATTTCAATTGAATTTGTAAATCCGAATAACGTTTATATAACTAAAGTTTGTTGGAACATTGTTAACATTAAATGAATATTTATTTGGTCATTCGATTATTAATAATGAAATAATTGAATTAATCATGTTTTTGTTTATCGTTGTTGAGAAATGGATGCTAAACCAATCGATTGTTTCTTACTACCACCACTACAACTATCATTTGAACGTTTTAATCCATTTGATTGCGATGATAAACTAATTGATAATGTTCTACCAATATTTGGTGAAATGGTTGCATTTTTATTTGAACCCATAAAATTACCGGTAGCTGTATCGTCTAATAAGCCAGATACAACGCTACTTTTCGGTGATTTTGGCGATTGTTTTCCATTTCTAAGACTCTTTGATGATTCGAATGATTGTCGTGATACAATACTAATTCTCGGTGATTTTGGTGAATGTTTTCTTTTTCTATGACGACGCTTTGATCGTGGTGTTGATTTGATATGATTTACATTTGGATTTGATTTTTTTCTATAATAAAAACAACAACAAAAACCAAAAAATAATATACAAAATACAACTATTATACTAATCATTGTGTTCAATAACAATCGCAAAATTAAATTATTATCGTCATCAGTAGTATCAAAACGTTTTTTAATGGTATATTGTAGACCACATGAATCAGCCAAAACATATTCATCTTTTGGTGAATCATAACCTTCACATGACAAATTTAATTGTCGAAATCTATATTCATATGGCATATCAGCTCTACATTCCCATTCAATAGATTGACCATTCGATCCAAGATTAAAACATTGAGCTACTTTTAATCGAACACGATTACAATAACGACCATCACATGTTAATTGTTGTATTGATTGATTTCGTCTTGTTTTGGTTAAACGACCAGATTCGAATGTTAATACATCAATATTTTTCAATAGGATACGATCATTTTCCTGTACCATCATCATCACAATCACTATGTTTATCATCATTAAATTTATTGAAAAAATCAATAACATTAAAGGATCAATATTACCACCACCACCACCACCATTGATCATTTATGTATTTTTTTGAATTAAATACAAAAAAATTGGCATTTCAATTTGTTTTGGAAAATTCCAATAACATTAATTAAGTTTATTTGTTGAACACATTGTTGTAATCAAATATGTTTATTAGAAAAATACACTATATTTTAATAATAACAGAACTTTAGAATTCAATCAATAAATGTCGAAAGCTTTTTTTCACCTTTTCGTGCTTATACATATGATGATAATGATCATCATCTTGATGACCTAAGCTTTGTTCCAGGTTGTTGTTGTTTTTTCTCTTCTTCATCTTCTTCAGAAAACGTTTCATTTCCAAATAATAATCATACTTGATGGGCAAAAAAAGTCATACTTTTAAGAAAACAAGGTATATCGATTACAAACACTGAATTGGAAAAAACAAATTCATATTGTCTTTTTTTGTATATTGTACGAAACAAAAAGCAAAAGTGTTAATGTCACAATGTTCAATATGAAGTGTGCTGACAACAACAGCTCAATATTTGCTATCAATCAATCAATCAATCATTGAATCAACAACTACCGGTAATCAAAAAGAAAAAAAATCCTAGAATAAAAATCAACAACCAAAGCATCCACTACATATATATTTGATTTTGTTTTGTTCATCTTCAATCTTCTTTTTCACACATAATTGATTGACACACACACACAATGGTCATCATCAAGTTTTTTAATCTTTTTTATCTTTTTTTTTTGGTGACAATTGATCAACGACAAAACACACAGTGGCCATCAATCAAAAGGATAACAATCAATTTTTTTCAAAATCATTTATCATTGAATTGAACTGAATGATGTGATATGCAAAAGAAACAACAAGCAAAAGTGTCAAATTCCTCACACACATAAACGCACATACAGACAGAGAGAAAGATGTAATAGAAAGTATTTCATTCAATTATCACGATTATGATTCGTGAATGAGAAAAAAAAGGATGCTGATGATGATAAATAAAGATGCGGCTACAGCCGCATTATTTCATTACAATCGAAAGGAACAAAACAAAAATTTGAATACAATCAGAAAACAAAAAATACCTTGAATAAATGTTCATGAGAGAACCACATTTCTTCATAATCTTCATATGGTGCAAAACGATTCATTGGTTGTTTTTGTTGTTGTTGATTGAGACCTGTATCACGGGATCGTGATAATATCTGACGTCGACTTATTGTTGATGTCATTATTGTTTTGTTGATTTTGCTCGAAATTTTTGTGAATAAAGATGAATATTTTCGAACGCAAAACAAAAGATGAAATTTTAAACAAAATTATTCATCGGAAATATTATTGAAGGATATGGATGTTGTTGCAAAACAAAAACTGTCAATCAAATCATTGATTGAATCGAATCAATAATTAATTAATTCACAAAAAACAAAACAAAACAGAAAAACAAAAAATTTAAGCCACTCCTTTGATGAGATGAACTATTCGAGCTATTGATCATATCGATCAATCAATCAATCAATCGATCAATCATTAATAATGAATGACCCGATTTGATACAGGTGGTGGTGGTGGTGGTGGTTGATAAAAATGTTTGTTGATGTTATTTGACTATTGTAAAAGTCAAACGGTCATTTTCAGACAAAAATTATTGAATTTCGATATGAATCACGATTGATTTTTTTGATCAAATGATGATGATGAAGAAGATAAAAGATTGGCCGAATCGATTGATTTTTTTTTTCAATGAAACAATGAAAAAATTGAACATCGAAAAAAAGAGAAATCGTGTACAAAGTTGATTTTTGTTGTTGATGATAATGATGGATCAATGGCTTGTTCCGTTGATGAAGATGGTTTTGATGTATCAGTGTGTGTGAATCACAATTTTTCGATGAGAAAAAAACAAAATTAATAAAAAAAAGAAGATCATCAATCATCATCATCAAATGATGATGATGATCATCAACTGAAAATAAGATTAAAAGATTTTCGACGAAAAATCTGATCAGTTAATCAGGTCTTTGATGTCTTTCTTGTGTGTGTGTGTGTCAAAATAGCCGTAAATATTCGATCAAGATCATTTCATTACATTTTTTTTAATTAAGCTCACGACCTCGATAATGATGATGATGATGATGATGATAATGTGAGGTCTTTAATTTTTTTTTTTGCTAAAAGAAAGAAGGAAAATCAAGTAGCAGCACAAAAATATAGATTAAAATCGAACAGCCCAGTATAACAAAACAATCATGATTTTGGGATGCTAAATATATACCTGTTCGAGTATTTTGTTATCATTGTTGTCGTCAATCATTGTTGTTGAATTTATCACCATTTAACACAATATATAATAGGCACATTAGGTCAGAAGAATATTATCTTTTCTTTTCTATTGTTGTTGTTGTTGTTGAAAATTGAATTGAAAATGACCATTAAAGTATAGACAGATAATATAAGATAGGTTGAAACAATGACCGGATCAGATTCGGATGTCAATCAAAAAATGATAGAAAAATACTTGTTTTCAATGAAATTATATTATGACAGGTTCTTTTTTCGTTGATGATGATGATGATAATGGTTTGAAAACTTTTATTTTTGTTAAAAATGGATGAATTTTTTATTTTTGCTTTCTTCAATTCAATAAATCAGAGATTTGACTTAGATTTTTCTTGATGATGATGATGATGATAAAGAGATTGTCATTTGGGTGGAAATAGAATCGAATGATTCGGAATATTATTAGCCAAAATATGAAAATGATTTTTTTTTTGAAAGTTGAAATTTGAAATTTGATGAAAAATTTTTCAACCGTAAACAACAACAAAAAAAAACAATTTTTTTGAATTGGTAGAAATGAAAAGTTTAAAAAGAAATAATAAAAAACAACTTTAATATTTGAAAGGTGAAATGATTTAATGAAAATCAGGAAGCTATTTATGATTTTAGAAAGAAAGGAAAACCGATAACAACAGTAAAAAAAATCAGAAAAGGTAATTTATTATTTATTGACAATAATGGTTACAGGTTTTTTTTTCTTTTTAATTACGGGACCACAACACGAAATAATTTTCAAATCGATTTTGATTAACGATAACAAATACCGGGTGCAATTAATTTTTTTTTTCGACGATAAACAAGGTAGTGATGGCGGGCACGATTGAACTAACCGATCAACCAATTTTTTTTTTGTTTTGGATACAAAATGAAATCAGCTGCTAAAACATTACTTTTACAACAAAAACTTATGGAACACACGCCAAACACACATACACGGTTAACTTGAAGGTGCTTTCTTGAATGAATGAAGAAATTAGAGATGAAAATTTAAGCGCCATAAGTTTGCTGCTTCCATAACTTGCTTTTTTCAAAATTTTCGTTTTCTGTGGGCGATGATTTTGTTTTGTCTCTTGTCCTGTTTGGTTCCAGAAATGAAAAAATATATTTTCTCTTCACAAACTTTGTTCTCATTGAAATCTTCGTAAACATTGTTGAAGAGAAACAAGTTTTCAACACTAGATCCTAAAAGGGAACAAGATCAAATTGATTTTTTTCTGTTTCTTTCCAAATTAATTATTTAACCAAAAAGTCTTTTTCAAAATTCTTCTTTTTTTTCTGCAATTTTTAATAGAGAATTTTCGCCATTCAAAATCATGGTGACAAATTTGTTCAATGTCAAAATGAAATGAATGAAACAAATGCGGATGATTAATCATCATTTGTGTGGATAATCCAAATTTGGATCGGTAAAATGAAAATTCATTTGTTTTTTGTTCTGGCTTATTTTCAATTACTAATCAAAGAACATCCTATATGTGTGTAGGCGTAATCATTATCATCCTGTGTGTGTGTGTGTTTAGTAGTTCCAAAATGAATAATTATTCTCCAAAAAATCAAATCATCATTATCAATTAGTTTATTTGCCCTTTAAATATTGTCTACGAACAAAATTGGAAATCGGTAGCTCACACACACACACATACTTTGCTTGGTGCTTTATTTGTTTCCGGTTTTCTTTTTCATTCATTCAATGAATGGAAAAACTTTTGAATTATGTTCATCAAACAAACAAACAAACAAACAATGATGACTCAAACTGAATATATTTTTGTTAAAGTTCAGCCCATGAATGGTGATTATCATCATCATCATCCTGATGATAATTCGTCGTTGAAAATGGCCAAATTTCGTCAACAAAATTTAATAAATTGTTTGACGAAATTCGGGCAACAACAAAGAAGAACCAAAAATAAAATTTTTCAAAAAAAAAATGATTCAACTTTGTGTGTGTAGGTATGTGGGTGGATGGATGGATGGATGGCTGATGTCAAAAGGATAATGGAAAAAAACATGAATGAATGAAACACGTCATTCTTTCACATCATCGTCAATGATGATGAGTGAAAACAAAAGAAAATTTTTTGATTCAAATTTTTTTTTTTCATTAGCATCACCTGTATTTATTTAGATTTTATTGGATTCAAAAAAGAAAAAAAATTTTAAATTTTATTGATTGATTAGCGAGAAAAAGATTTTTACTTGAAAGGGGAAATTATTTATTTGTTTCAAAAAAAAATTTCAGGAAATAATGAGGAAAAACACAGAAAAAAATGTGTGAATTTATTTATGGCTTATCATCATCGTCGTCGTAATGATCATTGATGATGATTACCATGATGGATAAAATGTTCAGGTGAAAGAAAATTTTCTTATTGGTGGGGGGTAGAAATAGCCAAGAAAAATTGAAATTATTTGATCAGTTCAGTGTGATTAACAAGAGAATGAAACAATTTGTTGAATATATATTTATTTGGTGGATACAATGTTTGTTTGTTTGTTTGTTTGTGTCAATACAGAAAAGAACAAGTGGGAAAAAAAGATGTTTTGGAATGTTGTTTGTGTGTGTGATGCGGATGATAATGATGATTATAACAATATATTCACCGGGTAATAAAATTAAAATTGAGATCAATAAAATCAAGAATAATTTTGATTAAATTTGATTAGAGGAAAAAGAAAATGTGTGAAATCGTTTTACTATGACTAGATTGATTGATAGATTTTGATTAGTGTTTTGTTGGTTTGGTTTTGTTGGTTTCTTTCAATTTTCAATAATTTTCAAATTTTTAATTTGAATAAATTCATATCCTGTACATGTTTAAGATAATAGTTGTTATTAACTAAACTATGTTTTAGGTAATAAACAACTAAACTAAACTAAGCTCTACTACATTGATCAAGCCAACTAGTAAAACGGGATTTTGTTTGATTTTGTAAATTATTATTATTAGATTTCATTTGATCATTATCATGATTATTATATGAAGATGATGAATTAAATGCTGTTAATTGATTATTTCTTTGTCGTTTAGCTGTTGTTGTTGTTGTTGAATTAGTATTTTGTTGTTGTTGTTGTTGAGAATTTCTTATATTATTATTATTATTATTATTATTATTATTATTTGTACCATTCATTTCATCATCGTCATCATCATCATCGTCGTCAGTTAAATCATCATCAGAACCAGTAGCATCATCATCATCATCATCATCTGGATCAAATCCATCATCATCTTCAAATTCTTCATCAATTGAATTTGCTTTAATTTTATTATTATGATTTGAATTATTATTCAATGTACCTAATGTTGATGTTAAACAATTATAATAATGATTATTATGATTTGCTTGATCCATTATTGATGGATGATGATTATGATGATTATTATGATGATTAAGATGTGGATTCAATGTCAATTGATGTGTTGTTGTTGTTGATGGATGATGATGATAACCGTTATGAAGATGATTATGATTATTATTTGTATTATGATGTGTTGGATATGTATCAGCTGCATATGCTGCTAATGGTAATATATCTACTGCTGCTGCTGCTGCATTTGCTAAATGACCAATCATTGATGAACATATTGGTGCTGTAATTGATTTATTATTATTATCCATAATTAAATTATCCATCAATGAATGATGAGGATGTTGTTGTCCATTTTGTGGATTATTCATTGTTATCAATTGATTTGATAATAAATGTTGTTGATGATGATTTTGTTGTTGTTGTTGTTGCGATTTAGATTTACCCGTTGTTGATGTTGTTGTTGAATTATTACGATGTGATGAATTCATTGATGATGATGATGTACCACCACCACCATTCTGATGTTTCAATATATTCTGTTGTTGTTGTTGATGTTGTTTTTGTGCAAGTTTTTCCATTGCTGCTATTGGACAACCAGATAAGCTTTAAAAATTAAAAGAACAAAAACCAAGGAATTTAATCAAGAATATGAATGTAGAGATGCAAAAAAATACCTTCGATGTGAATTACGTGATGAATTAACATGACCACGACCATTACAACCTGGTGTTGGACATTTTAATATTGTTTCATGCATTGCAAGAACTATATTGAAAATTTAAAAAATGAGAAAAAAAAATTTCCAAAAATAAAATAGACTTACTTTCCGGTGTTACTTGTCGTTTTCTTGGACAACCGGAAAGACTACGATGATGTGTATAAAGTCCTGTCGAATGTCCCGTACCATTACATCCGGGTGTTGGACATTTTGAATCTATTCCAGAAAAAAAAACAAAACGAATCAACAAAAAAATGAGAAAACAAAAGAAAATTTTAATAATAGAATATTCTGGCGAAATAAAATTTCTCGGGAAATTTCTCCAAAAACAAAGATAATCATAATAAAAAAAAAATTTGAATTCAAAACAAAATTTTTAAAAAAAATTACAAAATCCCCGATAATGTTACTTGTCAACATCAACATCGTCATCATTTTCAATGAAAAAACCAAACACAAAGCTAGTTTAAAAAACAAAACAACCAAACCAAACATTGTTTCAAGAGATTTTCAAAAACAATTGAATTGAATTCAGTTTTTTTGTTTTGGTTTTTGATTGTTGATTTGATGAAAAACCAACACCAAAATGAAAAAAAAATTAATAAATTGATTTTTTTGCAATGTTTTTTATGGTGCCTGTGTGTGGTGTGGTGACAACAAGATAAACAATGGAAATCCACAGCAACAACAAAAAACCAGATTGAATGAAATTGTCAAACAAACAAACAAACAAACAAACAGGAATTGTGAATGAAATGAAATTTTGAAAATAATCAGAAATATAAAAAAAAGAAAAGAAAACCTTTTGGCAAATGTAAAAAACACTAGTTATCTATCTCTCTCTGTGTGTTTGTGTTTGTGTGATACCAGAATAATTCCAACAAAAAAAAACAATGAATTTGGTTATTGTTGGTCGGTATCTGGCGAAACAAAAAATTTGTTTGGAAATTTAAAAAATGAAAAATTTCAATTGAAATCAAAAATCCTGTTCAAAATGCATACACTGTTAAAAACCGCCTGAGGTTATATCCCCATATTTTTTTCGAATGGGGTTATAACTCCC